TATGTTCAGAATGGTGGGGTACTCCTTTTTACAACCATCTTTCTATTTCAAAAAACATCAAAACAATACAGAACCACAGACTCTTATGAGTGTCTCAGAATTGTATCTTATGTGCCTTTTCGAGGATCAAGTATTGCAGCCCTTCCTATTTTTACTGTTTCTGTCTATATATCTGGTCATGAGACTTGGGAACACTCCTCACCCTGGTCATAGGATCTGGCTTCCAACTCTGCATCCCATGTTCCCTTTCCTGTCCAGCACTCCTCAGGTGACAACTGTTTCATTTTTACCATGGTTCTGATGATGATTGTGGACATCCAGGATCACTGTGGAGTCAGCTGCTCTGGGGGGGTGGCTTGACACAGATACATGATGTCATCACTTTTGATTGTAGGAATCACATGCATGTGACCATGATGGTCTTTGACTGGTTTGTGGCCATTTCTCACCCCTTGCATTACCCTTTCAATGTGAACATTTATCTGAATTGATTTTTAGTTTCAGTTCATTTTTATTCACCTTTGGTATTCCAAGCTGTACAATTTATTTGTCTTACAATTTCGCTATTTAAAAGATATGTAAATTGCTCATTCTTTGTTACACTTCCAAATTCCTTGATATCAAATGACTTGCTTGACATCTCTGATAATTACCTAGTCTTGAGTTTTCTGGAGCCATATGTTTTTCTTTTTACACCATCTGTTACTCTTACTAAGAAATTGTTTTTTCAATTCTAAGATCCATCATTGGGAATTTTAAAGCCTTCTTTAATGTGAAGAAAGGATTCACCTGTCTGATTTTATTTTATGTAACAGATGTTGAAGTACCTGCATTGTATTATTCCACAAATAGGATTATAATTTCATTACATTGTGGTCATTCCTGTGGTGAGTCACTTCATCTCCAGCTGAAGAAATATAATGCTAAAATGTCCTAAGTAGATGCTCCTGTAGGCCAGTCTAATTCAGTACATATGACATCCACTGAAAGTAAGACTGGGAAAAATACCAAAATTCAATATAAAGACCCATAAACCCTGCCTCCTTGATCACATTATTTTCACAGTTTAAGGGTGTGAATTCAGCATCATGGTTCATGGTAGAATTACAGCTTCAAGGACTGTGTAGGGAAAGAGTATTGAGTTTTAAAATTGGATACAAATTTTCAGTTTGTGAACATCAAAAATATTCAAAGGGAAAAGGGAACTAGAGAGGAAGGGCAGGGGGAAAGAAAGA